CGTTCCCCATGCAGAGCCTTTTCATAATACATATTTTCCACGATATATATATATATATATATATATGCACAAACACACATGCAGTGTATGTGGTTGTTTCTGAAGCATTCTTTTGTTTAAAAATGATTATTTTTATTATTATTATTATTAAATTCACCAGAGAGAGAGAGAGAGAGAAAGTGAGAGAGCAAGCCACCCGGTCCAGGACATGAACTATGGTCGACCACACAGGAGATCAGCATCCAACCACCAGGCTACCTGCTAGCCCCACATTCTTTTCTCTTTCTTTCAACTTGTCATAGGGTGCGTGTGCTTACCTTAAAGGTGCAGGTGGGATGAGAGAGCACCCCCCAGGGGGATGGCCACATTGCTGTCCCTTCTCTTTCATTCTCCTCTGGGGATTTTGGGCCCGTAGATACCCATACCTGGTGTGCTTTTCAAGCTTCTGAGTCCAGGAGTCCAACCAGGGTCAGCCCTGTGATGTCCAGACGCCTTCACCACGCCATCAGCTGCCCCATCTGTGTGTTTTGAATTTTTTTTTTGTTTGATTTTAAGGTTTTTTGCTATATAGCACATGCACTCACCTGAGATACAGAGAGAGGTAGAGGGAAAGTAAAGAACCATCCCCCAGGGGAGGGACCAGCAGTTGGCGTAATGGCTATGTCGCTGGACTCCCATGTAGTCAACTGTGGTTCAAGTCTTGGACCTGGTGGCTTAAACTTACACCGGGCATGTGTGCATGCGTACCCAAGGTCCCGAGAGGAGAATGGAAGAGAATGGAGAAGGGATTGTGGTGTGGCCATCCCCCCGGGGGGTGATTTCTATCTCTCTGGCGAGTGCACACACACCTTGTAGCAAAAACCTCTCCAAAAAAAAAAAAAGAAGGAAAAACACACCAGATCACTAGACTCCCGTGTAATCGACCAAGGTTCGAGTCCTAAACCTGGCGGCTTGAAACTGATGCTGAGCACATGTACATGTGCGCCCATGATCCCAAGAGGAGAATGAGGAGAAGGAATTGTGGGGTGGCCATCCCCACCCTGGCGGGGGGTGACTTCTCGCTTTCTGTCGCTGTCTCTCGGACAGCGTATGCACCTTATAGCAAAAATCTCTCAAAAAAAAAAAAAAAAAAAGGAAAAAGAAAAGAAAAACACACCATGAGTATGATGAGTATGTCCATGTGTGCTCCAAATCTTGACAGCCTGGGGAAATGGGAGAGGGACTGTGGTGTAACCAAGCCCCACTGGGTGGTGGTTTCTCTCCACAACTCTGTCTCTCTATCTCTCTATCTCTCTGAGGGGTGTACTTGTCCTCTGGCAATTAAAAATAAACCAACTGGGGGGCCAGCATGTGGCATGATGGTTAAAGGCGCCGGACTCCCACATGGCCGATCGCGATGTGAGTCCTGAACCTGGCAGCTCGCTTTCTCTCTCTCTCTCTCTCTGTCCCTCTCTGGGCAAACTTAAATAAATATATAAATAAAGCTGAAGTTTAAAAATAAGAATAAACCAATTGGGGCCAGCTGGTGGTGTAGTGGTCCCATTGCTGGACTCCCACATGGTCAACCACAGTTCAAGTCTAAATCCGGTGGTCTGGACTCTTGAAAAATCACGCTGGGTGCATGCACATGCATGCCTAAGATCTCAGGAAGAGAATGGAGGAAAAGGGATTGTGGCATGACCATCCCCCCGGGGAGCGATGAGTGATTTCTCACTTTCCTACTCACTAACTGTCTTTCTCTCTGGTGAGCACACACGCCCTAAGTCAAAAACCTCTTTTTAAAAAATGTATATATTGGGACCAGCAGATAGCTAATGGCTATGTTGCTAGACTCCCATGTAGTTGACCAAGGTTCGAGTCTTAGACCCAGTGGTTTGAACTCACACCGGGCATGTGTGCATGCATGCCCAAGACCCCAAGAGGAGATGGGAGAAAGGATTGCGGCGTGGCCATCCCCCCAGGGGATGATTTCTCACTTTCTGTCTCTTTGTCTCTCTCTGTCTTTCTGGTGAGCACACGTGCCCTATAGAGAAAACCTCTCAAAAAAAAAAAATATATATATACATACACACAAAATTTATGGGGCAGGGCCAGCAGGTGGTATGGAGGTTAAGGCACTGGATTCTCTGACAAAAGAAAGACACAAATTTAAAAGAAAATAAAAGCTACAGGGGCCAGCAGGTGGCATGGTGGCTGGGACACTGGACTCCCACATGGCTGACCACAGTTCGAGTCCTAGACCTGGAGACTTGCTTTCTCACTTTCCCTCTATCTCTCTCTGTCTCCCTCTGGCCAAATTAAAAAATAATCATAACAAACAAAGTTAAATAAATGTTCATTTAAAAAAAGAAGAAGAAGGAAGAAAAGCTATGACTATGCCCACTCAGAGTGTCTGATTCAGTAAGTCTGGTCTGAAACCAGCAATGCGTGCTTCTAACATTTTCCATATGCTGCTGGTGGTAGGACACTCTCCGAGAACTCCTGCTATACAGACATTCCGTAGATCTCTGCTCAGATCCAGACTGAGCAGTCTAACTGCCAGAGAGGAAGGTGTTTTCCTGGCAAGAAGACTCCAAAGAGTTCATAGGAAAATGGAATTAAAGTATGAGTTTATTTGGGTGCAAAAAATTTTGAAATTCATGTATAGGTTTTTCAATAATACATGTTTTCCATGATCTCTTTTAAAATTTAATTTTATTTATTCATCATTTATTTTAATTTGACCAGAGAGAGACACAGAGAGAGCGCGGAGGGGGGAAGTGAGAAAGCAAGCCACCAGGTCAGGGACTTGAACTGTGGGTAGCCATGTGGGAGTGTCCAGTGCCTTAACTACCACACCACCTGCTGGTCCCTCCATGAACTTTTTGAAGACACCTCATACTGCCAGGATCTCCCCCACAATGCACCCACAGTGGTCTGCCAACCCGCTCTTGATGGAAAGATGTCTGCAAGGCAATCTTACGCAGAATGGAAGTCAGAGCCTTCGCCATGACCTACAACACCCTGTCCGATCTAACCTTAATTTTGAGGAGCTCCAGCTACACCACGAACACTCCAGATATCTAGACTGCTCTCATCTTAAGAATAGAAAGTTCTTGGGACCAGCAGATGGCATAATAGTTACATCGCCAGACTCCTACATGGCCCACCACAGTTCAAGACTCGAACCTGGAGGCTTGAAACTCACATCAGGCACATGTGTATGCATACCCAAAAATCCTGAGAGGAGAATGGAGTAGAAGAGATTGCAGGATGGCCAAGCCCCCGGGGGTGATTTCTTTCTGTCATTCTGCCTCTCTCTGTCTCTCCAGCAAACACACATACCTTAGAGAAAAAAAACAAACAAAAACAAAAACAAAACAAAACAAAACTCTCTACCTCGCAAAAAGAGAATGTAAAAGTTCTCTGATGGAAAAGATGTATATAGTAATATCCTTGATTTGATGGTAGCGTAACACGTTTTTGAAAAAACGATCTTGTGTGCTATGGAGATGTACAATTAAATGTGAAGCAGAGAAAGAGAAGAAGAAGAAGAGGAAGGAGGAGAAGGAGGAGGAGAAATAGCTGACCCCACTGGAAATGTCCAAAGGCAAAGAAAACAAAAAACCCTTTTGCACTTGTTTCTTCCTCTACCTGAATGTCCTCTCTTTGTGATGTTGTGATAATAAGAAATATCTATTTGGGGGCCAGCAGCTGGTGTGGTGGATGAGGCACTGGACTTCCGCATGGCCAACCCACGTTCAAGTCCCTCTACCTGGATGTCCTTCTCTCGTTGTGATGTTGTGATAATAAGAAATATCTATTTGGGGGCCAGCAGCTGGTGTGGTGGATGAGGCACTGGACTTCCGCATGGCCAACCCACGTTCAAGTCCCAAACCTGGCGGCTGGTTTTCTCACTTTCTTGCTTTTCTCTCTCATCCCTGGGGAGCACATGTGCCCTATAGCAAATTTAATAATAATAATAAATTAAATCATTCTTTTCTTTAAAAATAAAAATGAACTTCCTTAAGTGAAAAGAATGGAGTTTATGTTAATAAGGTGACTCTCTCAGAAAGAGGAGCTTATTGCCAGGGGAACCAACCATGTGATTAGAGGGTTAGGACTTTCAGCTTCCCCCTCACCTCCAACCAATGGCTCATGATTTTGATTAATCATGCCTGCATAGTGAACCTCCATGAAAATCTCAAGGGATGGCTCCGACTGCGGCAGGGTTGGTGCAGACAGGGAGTACTGGGTAGGCTGTACGCCCTGAGAGGCACCGACGCCCCACACTGCCTTCCCAATCCCTTGCCATAGGCATCTCTGCCCTCCGACTGCTCCTGCCCCGTGTCGTTAGGAACCACAAACCTAAATCCCGGGTTTCCCTGAGGTCTGGGAGCCATTCCAGAACCTGACTGAACCCGAGAAGCAGGCTGTTGGAACCCGATTCAGAAGTAGAGGACACACACACACACACACACACACACACACACACGCCCCGAGATCGGCCTTACAAGTCTATAAATGCCGTCTCTCAGTACCACTTCCAGTTCCTCCAAAGAATTTACGCCAGTTCTCTAATTCCTGAACTCCGTAGATTTTACTAAAGATCTCAGAAGGTAAGATGAGAGAATCACATTGCATCCTGAAGCAAACACATTTCAATCCTTCATTAGACTTTTCCGTATTTCCCAGAGCCTCTCCTGGGCTGCCTCGCTGGGAGTGAGGTTTCTCTCCCTTTCTAGCTCCTGCCCCAGATTCTTACTGCCTTTCCCCACACCTTCAGTAGTTCATCAGGATGTTTTCTGCATGCATACTTTGGGCTCTCAGTAAGAGGAATTTGGGGGGCCAGCAGATGGAGTGGTGGTTAAGGTGCCGGACTCCCACATGGCTAACCGTGGTTGGAGGCCAAGACCTGGCGGCTTCCATTCTCACTTCCCCTCTCTCTCTCTTTCTCTCTTGTGAGTGCACATGCCCTATAGCAAAATTACAATAATAACAATAACAAACAAAATTAAATAAATAATTGTTTTTTAAAAGAGGAATTCGGAAGAGTGTTTTCTTATCTCCAATTGACACCAGGTTCCCCCTTCTTTCTGGGGTGCTAGTCTCAGCAGAAGTCAATGGGGAAGTGAGGCCTGGGAGGTGGAGGAGGGAATGAGGGAAGGGGAAGTTGGTGAGGGAGGCCTCTGGGACCAGAGGCAGAGAAGAGCGGCAGCGAGAGACACCAGCTTGCCTGTCTCCCTCCTCCACCGGCACTGCTGCGGGATGAGCCAGTCCAGGGACTTGCAGGGTAGGGAGGGTGGAGTCAGGAGCAAACACCGGGATCAAGGGATGGACGCGGGCCGGGGCCGAGGGGCTGGGAGGACAGGCTGCTGGCCTGTGAAGGCAGAATGGAGGATGGCCCTGGGCTGGGCGTGAGGGTCAGGAGGTGAGCACTGGTTGACCTTTGTGCCCCCACAGGAGGAAAAGCTTTCGGACTGCTGAAGGCCCAGCAGGAAGAGAGACTGGATGAGATCAATAAGGTAAAGAAAGAAAAAAGGACTCGCAGGGCAGAGCTGGGGCGCAGGGCTCTGGAATGGGAGGCTACACCTTGGCTCCTACTCTACCCCACAGCAATTCCTGGATGACCCCAAATATAGCAGTGATGAGGATCTGCCCTCCAAACTGGAAGCCTTCAAGAGTGAGGGGGAGACTAGGGGAGCGGGGGCTGGTGGGGGAGCTGGGACCTCCACAGAACAGAGAGAGGACAGCAGAGACCCAGTTCTTACTTCTGTGATGTGCAGAGGGGAGGGCCTGCCTTCATTACCCCCCTCCCACACTGTGGCCCCTTTCCCTGGCCTGCCCCTCAGCATCCCCTCTAGTTCCCTTACCTTAACGGGGCCCCTCAGCTCCATACCCCCACTTCCTCTGCTCCTCTCCTCCCCTTCCACATCTTCCCCCTCACCTAAACACGTGGTCAGCAACCCCTTACTCAGCCCCCTGCAGAAGACCCTCTGGCCAGCACTTACCCTGTTCTCTCCTCTCACTCAGAGAAATACATGGAGTTCGACCTGAATGGGAATGGAGATATTGGTGAGGAAACGGTGATCGGGGGAGGTGCAGACCCAGGAGGATGGAGTCTCTCCTGCTTGCTCCATCCCCCATGGCTGGGGAGAGGGCCCACCTATGAGTAGGAAGAAGGGGAACGGAGTAGGGAAGGAGGAAGGAAAGAGAAAGGGGCTCCCCTCTTCTCCCCAACCCGACCCTCTACTTCCAGATATCATGTCCCTGAAGCGAATGCTGGAGAAACTTGGGATTCCTAAGACCCACCTGGAGCTAAAGAAATTGATTGGAGAGGTGTCCAGTGGCTGTGGAGAGACATTCAGCTACCCTGACTTTCTCAGGATGATGCTGGGCAAGAGATCCGCCATCCTAAAAATGTGAGGGTCCAGTAACCACTCTCCCCTGCACTTACCTATTTTCTCCTCCCCCACTTGACCCCTGCCCACAGGTTCAACTTCCGCACATTATTTAGCATCCATTCTCCCATTAAAGGCACTCTCCCAAGGTCCTAGCTCCATCCCCATCCATGGCTCTGGTCCCCCAAACCCCGAGCACCCCCACCCTTCTTTCTTACCCTACTACCCTCATCATCTCACCCCCTCTGGACTCCCATCGCAGCCTAAGATTTAGTTTGTTTTTGTTTTGCCAAAGGGCACATGTGCTAGCCATGAAGAGAGAAAGAAAAATGAAAACTCATCCTCCACGGGAATTGGCCATACCACAATCCCTTCTCCTTTATTCTCGTCCCGGGATTTTGAGTATACACGTGTACACACTCAGCATGATTTTTAAGCCACTGGGTCTGGGATTCCAACTACAGTTGGCCACGGGCAAGACCACCATGCCTCCCGCTAGCCCCAGGTTTAGTCTTTTGAGAGGTGTGTTCCCTGATCTCTGTCTCTTCCTATCTCAACCAGGATACTGATGTATGAGGAGAAAGCAAGAGAACAGGAAAAGCCAACTGGTCCACCAGCCAAGAAAGCTATCTCTGAGCTACCTTGATTTTGGGGGGAGGAGAGAATGTGCAGTGGGATTAAAGGGGCTTCTAATGACCCCATGGAAAAAGAAGACAAAATTGTGAGCCAGTCGAACTAAATTAAATAAATTATCATCTCCTTCCAGACGAAGTCAGCCAGCTTGGTTTTTATTTATTTATTTATTTATTTATTTATTTATTTATTTATCCCCTAAACTTGAGGATGAGGGAAGTGTTTTTAAGGGGAGAACAGCAAGGCCCTGCCTGTAGAAGCAATTCAATGAACAGTTCTGCAATGTATCTTACTATAGCAGGTGGCTTTGTGCACCAAGAGGGGTTCCATATAGATGTAGGTCAATTCCTTGACCTTGAGGAATTTAGGTAGGACAAAGACATGTACAGACCAGGAAAAAAAAAAATCACCCAGCCCCACGGTAGCTTTCATGAACAAAGAGGATTATCTTTTTTTTTTTTTTTGGAGAGGTTATTGCTATAGGGCGTGTGCGCTCGCCAGACAGACAGAGAGAGACAGACAGAAAGCGGGAAATCACCCCCCAGGGGGGATAGCCCTGCCACAATCCCTTCTCCATTCTCCTCTCGGGATCTTGGGCATGCAAGCATACACACCTGGCATGAGTTTAAGCCTCTGGGTCCGGGATGCGAACCATGGTCGACTACAAGGGAGTCCAGCGACATAGCCATTACGCTAATTGCTGGTCCCAAGAAGATTATCTTGAAGCAACATTCTCTACCACTGTAAATTCTGTGACCTTGACAAATTGCAGAGGCTTTTATTTGAAAACGGGATAATATGATCTATGCTCTTGCGCCTGACATGTCTGAAGTCTTCAATATGCTTAAAACTTGAATGAATGGGTGGAGGGATGAAAGAATTGGTATTATTTCATGGAATAATGGATTCACAATGCTATAAGGACTAAACATTTACGAGTTAAATGAGTCATTGAGGTCTTTTGGGGGGTCAAGATACAGAAATCGAGTATAAAAAAAAAAGAAAAAATAGGTTTGTGTTGGGTGGCTGCTGGGGACAGATACTGGGGACACAGTTCTGAAGAACAGACAGGGCTGATCAGCCATCTCAGGCAAGAGTCTAAGAACTTCAAGGGCTTTGGTGAGGCCAGACCTTTCTTCCTCCAAGGGTCCAAATGAGTAAACTCTAGCAATCTCATCTCTGGCCACGAGTTTGGATTTCCCAATACCCTAGAAAGGGAGATCTAGCCCAGCTTGTTCTATGTCATCTATGGTGACCCTTCCCAGTGGAAAAGCCTGAGAGACATCCTGGGTAGTGATTCCAGTCCAGGTACAGCAATGGTTTAAGGCTTCAGAGGAAGAGATCATGGCTCAATGAGTGAAATGTAATTATTATTATTTTATTATTATTATTTTAACTTTATTTATTTTTATTTATTTATTTTTAATTTTGACCAGAAAGAGAGAGGGTGGGGAGTGAGAGAGGAAGCTGTCAGGTCTGGGACTCGAACCACAGTCAGCTATGTGGGAGTCCAGCGTCCTTAACCACCACGCCCACTGCCAGCCTCTGGAAATATAATTATTAAGTAAGTTGAATAAGATATCTAAATATACTGGGACCAGCAGTTGGCATAATGGCTATGTTGCTGGACTCCCATGTAGTCGACTGCAGTTCAAGCCCCAGACCTGGTGGCTTGATTTCTCACTTTTCCTCTCTCTCCATTACTCTGCCCCTCTCTGGTCAAAATAAAAATAAATAAATAAATTAAGTTAAGGGACCAGCAGTTAACGTAATGGCTATGTTTCTGGACTCCCATGTAGTCGACCGCGGTTCAAGTCCTGGACCTGGTGGCTTAAACTCACACCGGGCATGTGCGCGTGTGTGCCCAAGATCCCGAGAGGAGAGTGGAGGAGAAGGGATTGTGGCGTGGCCATCCCTCCTGGGGGTGATTTCTTGCTTTCTCTCTCTCTGTCTCTCTCGGTCTCTCTGGTGAGTGCACGCGTCCTGGAGCAAATAACTATATAAATAAATAAATAAAGTTAAATAAAATATTTTTTTTAGAAAAGGAGCTGGCAGGCAGCATGGTGGTTAAGGGCTCTGAACTCCCACACAGCCGACCGCAGTTCAAGCCCCAGACCTGGCGGCTTGATTTCTCACTTTTCCGTTCTCTCACTCTGCCTTTCTGTGGTCAGGATTAAAATAAATAAATATATAAGTAAAGTTTAAAAATTAAATAAAATGTTGGGAACCAACAGTTAGCGTAATGGCTATGTCGCTGGACTCCCACGTAGTCGACCGCAGTTTGCGTCCCGGACCCGGTGGCTTAAGACTCACACCGGGCGCGTGTGCGTGCGTGCCCAAGATCCCGGAGGAGAATGGAGGAGAAGGGATTGCGGCGTGACCATCCCCCCTGGGGGTGATTTCTCGCTTTCTGTCTCTCTGTCTCTCTCTGTCTGTCTGGTGAGCGCACACGCCCTATAGCCAAAAAAAAAAAAAAATTAAATTAAATGTTAAAAAAAAAAAGTGCTGTACCCTATGCGGCCCATACTGTGGTTCCAGTCCTAGACCCAGTGGTGTGAATCATGCTGGGTGGCTGTGCGTGAACGCCATGCACGACTGCCGGAAAGTCCAAGAGGAGAGCGGAGGCGATGGGACTGTCGTGTGGCCATGACCCTCGAAGGGTGATTTCTCACTTCCCCTCTCTCCGTCTCCATCTCCATCTCAAGCAAGTGTATGCATCCTACAGCAAACACAAAAAACGAAACAAAAACCTACATCTATACACAACAGCATAGATAGATCTCATAAAGAAAACACTGAGCGGGAACCAGCAGTTAGCATAATGGCTATGTCACTGGACTCACACGTAGTCGACCGCGGTTCGCGTCCCGGACCCGGTGGCTTAAAACTCACACCGGGCGTGTGTGTGTGTGTGTGTGTGTGTGTGTGCCCAAGATCCCGAGAGGAGAACAGAGGAGAAGGGATTGCGGCGTGGCCATCCCCCCGAGGGGTGATTTCTCGCTTTCTGTCTCTCTGTCTCTCTCTGTCTGTCTGGCAAGCACACACGCCCTATAGCGAAAACCTCTCAAAAAAAATAAATAAATAAATAAAAACACTGAGCAAAAGAGGACAGCTACAGGGCCAGCAGGTGGCATGCAGTCGGCCAGAACTGCTGACTAAGCAGTTCGAGTTTGAAAATCACTGGTTGCCAATGCATGTGTGCTCAAATTCCCAAGAGGAGACTGGAGGAGAAGGGATTCTTCTAGAGGAGGGATTGCGGCATGGTCCTTCCCTCTGAAGAACTGATTTCTCACTCTCTCTCTTTCTCCCCCCTCTCTCTCTGGGAAGGGCACCCACATAACAAAAACTGGGGGGAAAAGAAAAGTACAAAAGAACCCTACTGTATGATCTCGTTTTTTTCTTTTCTTTCCTTTTCTCTCTTTTTTTTCCTTTTTGGAGAGGCTTTTACTATAGGGCATGTTCACTTGCCAGAAAGAGAGAGAGACAGAGAGACAGAAAGCGAGAAATCACCCACGGGGGGGGAGGGGAGGGAATACCTTCTCCTCCATTTTCCTTGGGCACACACGCACACACACACCCAGCGTGAATTTAAGCCACCAGGTCCGGGACTTGAACTGCAGTTGACTATACGGGAGTCCAGCAACATAGCCATTACGCCATCTGCTGGTCCCACAGTCTCATTTTTATAAGAACAGATAATACTCATCTGTGATAGCTGCAATCAGGATAGTAGCCTTCGGGGAGGGGAGTGATAAGAGGCTGTAGGGCAGCTTCTGGAGCCGCAGTTAGGGATGCTCTGGCTGCATGTTCTGCTGTTTACGGAAGTCCATCAGAATGTACATTGCTCTCTCTATATAACACACTTCAGTAAAAGGATTCACAGGGCCAGCCTATGCCCTGGTGGTCAAGCCGGCTAGATCCCACATGGCTAAGCATGCAGCTCACATCCTGGCCCTGGAGGCTTGAACAACACACCAGATACACGTGCATGTGTGCCCCAAATCCCAAAAGTTGGGAGAAATGGAGGAGAAGGGATTGCAGCATGACCATGTCCCATCTGGAGTGCTTTCTCGCTACCCTGTCTCTCTCCAGCGAGCACATGCATACGCCCTTTGGCAAATTTAAATGAATTAAAAACAGAGTTTGAAATGATCTATTAGACACCAAAGAGCAGACGACAAGGATCCAGCTGTGTACATAAGCCTGGAGTCTAGGCGAGAGGTTTGTGATGAAGATACACACTTGGAAGACCTCGTCCCCAATACAATTTTACACCAGGAGACTGGACATCCTTGGAAGACCCAGATTTGGTGGGACAGGAGTGAAGGCTTCATTCGAGTGGTTTAAGAGAGACTGGGAAGGGAACAATTGGACAGCAGTGAGTACAAAGAGTTTTTTGAAAAAAAATTTTGCTGCACAGAGGAGCGAAATGGCATGGCAGCCAGAAAGGGAGAGGAGACAAGAGAATGATCTTCTTTTCTTTTTTTAAAAAAGAGGTTTTTGCCTTAGGGAGTGTGTGCTCCCAAGAGAAAAACAGAGATAGTGAGAGGGAAAGTGAGAAATCACCCCCTGGGGGGAAGGCCACAGGTGCAATCCCTTTTTTCTCCATTTTCCTCCAGTTACTTTGGCACCAATGCACACATGCCCAGTGTTGAGTTTTAAGCCACCAGGTCCAGGACTCTAACCAGGTCGACCATGTGGGAGTCCAGTGATGTAACCACTGGTCCCAAGAGAATCATTTTCGAAGCTTGAAAACTGAAGTCATCCTAAAACTCACTGAGCCTCAAGCTAAAATGCTTTTCTCTCTCTCTCTCTTTTTTTTTTTTTTTAAGTTTTTGCTATAGGGTGCATGTGCTCACTAGAGAGAGAGAGGGAAAGTAAGAAATCACCCCCTCCCAAGGGTGATTTTGCCACACTGCAATTCCTTTACCTCCAGTTTCCTCTAGGCATTTTTGGGCATGCACACACGTGCCGAGCATGATTTTCAAGTCTGGGTCCAGGACTCAAACTGTGCAGCCAGCCATGTAAGACCAGTGCCTTAATCTCCACCCCCACCTGCTGGCTTTTAAAATTCATATCTGATTTCTGCCAACTTTTCTGCCTTCATATTCCATTACGGATAGGTAAGTCCATTTAACCACACCATCCCAGGCATAGGTCCCCTAACACATGCCCCCATTCATCTGTTCACTGGACCTAAAATGTGCACCTTCTCAAACTTGGCTAAGTTCTAACTAATTCTTCAGTTTTATTTCTAAACCTCCTCAGGCATGGCTAGATTTTATTTCTCTATTTCTATTAATATAATACTCTTTGCATTATCTCTGGCATCTTCAAAATATAGTTGTGCGGACGGCAGGTGGTGCGGTGGTTAACTACACTAGACTCCCACATGGCCAACTGCAGTTCAAGTCCTGGACCTGGTGGCTTGGTTTTCTCGCTTACTCTCTCTCTCTCTCTCTGTTCCTCTATGGTCCAATTAGAATAAATAAATAAAGTTAAATAAAATAATAATTAAAAAAATATATATATAGCTGTTGAATGATTTCTTGCGTGGAAAACAGATCCCAGGAGCGCAGAGGGTTCCACAGTAATGAGACAAAGGAGGGAAACACTACCGCATTTCCTAAATGAAACCCATTGTTTAGAAAATACAAAGTATCAATAATATAAAAACCCATACATAAAAATAGAAGATCACAAAATTAAATGTCTGCTCAGTCATTGGTGGCTAGTACTTGGATAAATAGGTTTTCCCGGCCTATCTTTGTTCAAATGATTTGCATGTGTTATGCAAATAAATAGAACTACCCAAAGAATGCCTATGCGGAGCGATGCTGATGATACTCTCGACGAACCCGCGGATTGGCCTGCCTACCCAACTCATTTGCATGACGTGATTTAACAAGCGAAGGCTCCGCCCCCTTGGTGCTTTAACCTCTCTGGAAGGGACGCGTGAGTTAAAACTCTTCCCAGAGCTAAGTAAGCTCCGCCCACCGGCAGCTAATCTCTCTCGCCCACCCTCGTCTCCTCGCTCATTCTCCTCAGCTGAAAGCGCTACGGGTCTTGCATCGTTTCCTTCCACTTTCGGCGTCCCGACGTTTCTCCGCTTCCATCTTTCAGTGAACGCACGACGCACGCTCCGCCCACTTCTCCCATAATTCGTCGTGTAAATCCTGCGCCCCAACAGGCCGGCTGACCGGCGCCGCATTTCCGCCCCGTCTTCACGTCTCAACGGCCGCGACGGGGGGCCCGCCTCCTCAGCCAACCGGCG